CACACTGTCTGTGCCCAGGAGTTAGAAGGAGTCGGAGCCAGCCCTGAGCCCTAGCCTAAGCCGAGCGCGTCTGCAGACAAACAGAGCCCAGATAAGCCTCCTACTGCTCCAGCATCTCCCTCTGGCACCCTCCATAGCCCTGAACATTTCTCTGGGCCCCACATCTGCCTAGGGCCCCTCTGCTGTATGAAACTGGCAGCAATGATCAAAAGAGAGGTGCCCAACTGACTCAGAGCTAAATGTCCAGGCCACTGCCGCTGCCGCCCCTCTCCCTGCCCAGAGGTGCCCGTGGGAGGAGGGGCACCATGCAAATATTGCAGCCGCAATGCAAGTTTGCAGTGAAGAAATGTACAGGCGCAAGCAACAGGTGATCAATGCAGCCTTTGTGGGACAGGCCCAGAGAGCCATTTGCCAAAAATTACAATCCTAGAGCGCTTTACTGAGAAGTGTGCCAGTGAGCTGATTAAGGTGGCCGCCACAGTTTTCATCAATCAAGACCCAAAGACTCAAAGACAGCCAGACCAGAAAGATAAAGAGGAGGATGGATCTCCTTATACCCCAGAGTTCACTCAAAGGGGGGTCTCACCAGTACAAAGACAATGGTCCAAAGGTTTATAAGGGAAAACAGCGTGGCCAGATAAAATGGGAAGCCTCCAGTGGCCCCGGCGGGCAAGCACCCACTGCCATGCTCAAATGCTAAGCCTGGAACAGAGAAGGAGGGAATGTTCCCCCCAGACTGTGGCCCCAGCCCCTCCTTTCAGTTTCTTCTCACTTGCTCGGAAGTTGATGATTGACGAATATGGTAAGGGTCCCGTAGACCCACACAGCTGCATCTGATGCACAGGACCCAGTGCCTCAGGAGGGCTCAGCTGCTGCAAGCCTCCAAATGAACCAGGAATATGTTCATGTTAACCAGTAGTGGGCCATAGGGTGCTCACTCCAAAAGGACATGCCACCCTGGCTCCAAGCCATAAGTGGATAAACTGTGCCACCAGCAGGAAGGGCCACAGAGCCCCATGCACCCAGGCATACTGAACAAAACACAAGCAGGGCAGCTACTCTATACAATTAGAACAGGCTCCCCACCTGGCAGGAGTAGAAAGCCACACAGTCAAAGAGCAACACCTAGGAGGGCACAATGTGGCTGCCACACCAGGACCTGCACGGAACCGCACCACTGCCCTCCAACCTTGGCAGACGGCCCACGGCGAGATTGACATAGGTGCCTTTTATACAAATGATGTCCCAGGTCATCAGTCTCTGCTAAGATTTACATTAGATTTAAGAGTTGTAGAATCCTAGCAGCCAAGATCCTGCACAGGGAGATAACAAAAAAAATTCCTGTATCTTAAAGCGCCAGAGGCTCTACATATGCCTCCCTTCCCTAAATGACAGTTTCTCCCAGCTTGGGTACACCATCTTTGCGAAAGCACTGGACTCTAACTTAGAAGTCCACATCTATCAACAAAAAGTCAAATACCTTGGTTACCATCTGACACAGCAACAGAACAAAACAACCACTGGGCCTCAAAAGAAACAGGAGATCTGCTCAATTCCAGTGCCTTCAACCTGCCATCAGACTAGAGAATTCTTGGGGGCTACTGGGTTCAGCCATATATGGATTCCTGACTTTTCAGTCATGGCAAAACCCCTCTATGAAGCCACAAAGGGGGGTGAATGAGATCCTCTGATGTGGGGGCCAACTAAGCAAAAGGCCTTTGAGGACATTAAACAAGCACTCACCAGTGCACCTGGACTAGGGCTCCCTGACCTCAGGAAGCCTTTCTTTCTCTATGTCCTTGATCTGTCAGGAGTGGCTCTGGGAGTTTTGACTCAGATGCTGGGGACATGGCACCATCCAGTGGTCTATTTGTCCACAAAGCTGGACTCTGTAGCCCAGGGCTGGCCACCTTTTTTCGGGGCCCTTGCAGCCACAGCTCTTCTGGTGTTGGAAGCTGATAAACTGGCCATGGGACAAGAACTGGTTGTCAGAGTTCCTCATTCAATTTTGACATTGTTAAAATATAAAGGACACTATTGGTTGACTAATGAAAAAAAAATGGTCAAATATCAGGGCACGTTATGTGAAAACCCACGTATCCACATTGAGGAAGTCAGAACTCTAAACCCAACCCCTTTGCTGCCCATTGGACCTGGAGAACCTGATCACAATGGTTGAGGTCATGGATGAAGTGTTCTCCAGCAGACCAGACCTAACAGACCAGCCTCTCAAGGACGCTGATGCAGAGTACTTCACACATGGAAGCAGTTTTATAAAAGATGAGGTATGTTTTGCTGGATACGCAATGGTCACTCTGGATTCCACTGTTGAGGCAGAACCTCTGCCTCAGGGAACTTCAGCACAAAAAGTAAAACTTATTGTTCTGACTCAAGCACCTCAGTTGACAGCAGGAGTCTGTGTGGATATTTACACAGACTCAGAATATGCGTTCACTACCCTTCATGTTCACAGGCCTTATGTAGGCTAATTAACTCAGGAGAAAAAAAGGGGGGGGCATGATGTATGGGCAAGAAATTCTTACACTTCTGGATGCACTGTGGGCTCCCGGGAAGGTTGTGATTATATAATGCCAAGGTCATTGAAAGGAAAACACTGTGGTTTCTCAGGGCAACTGAGGAGCTGACAGAGAGGCCAGGTTAGCTGTCTGCAAAAAATGGGAAGAAAATCCAGGCCCAGGTCTAAAGGCTGCCCTTCTGCCTGGCCGACTAGCTAACAGAAAGGGAGCCAGCACACTCCCAACATGACAGTAAGTGATTTAAGACTGAAAAATCTTTTTCTCCCAGGTGCATGGTGGAGATTTTCTGATGGCCGGCACAGCCATCTCGGAGAATCTAGCCCCAGCCTTTATCACACAATTTCGCAGGAAAATATGTTGGACATACAGCACTTGAGACAGTTCTGAGTCAACATTTCTATGTCCCCCAGCTCACAAGCATCACCTGGATGATCTGCAACAATGTGAGGTTTGTGCTCACAACAATCCTTGTCAGGGGCCAGAGCTTCTACCAGGTGCCTTGCCTCATTTGTCCCTACAACACAACCTCCTAAAGTCTCCACCACCTCCCAACAGTGCCACCAACATGGGACCTAGCAACCAACATTTGAGTCTTTGGGAAGCAATTCAGATGCAAACTATAATATTTTCCTCAAAGGAAACACTAAAAGTAAGAGGTAGCTCTCACATTTTAAAATTTTAAGAGTCCTTTAAAATTTCATGTCAAATTCACATCTTAAAATCTGGCTCCGATTTAGCAAACTGCATGTTCCCAGGTTTCAAAGTAAACCCCACATTTTGTAAAATATCAAGCAATGCATCAACATTAACTTTGCATAATTGTACAAATATATTTAAAATCTTTAACTCTTCACACTTTTTCTTCTGACTATACTTAGATTGATTTTTTAAAAAGTCACCAGCTCAGGAGGCTAAGAGACGAGACTTGCAAGTTCAAAGCCAGCCTCAGGAACTTAGTGAGGTCCTAAGCAGTTTAGCGAGAACCTGTCTTAAAATAAAAATAAATAATAAACAGACAGATAGATAAAAAGGGATGAGGCTCAGGGGTTAAGGACCCTTCGTTCAATCTTAGAAAAAAAAAAAAGAAGAAGTTATTTGCCAATGGGTACCCAAATAGATAAAGTAATAAGTTTGAGTATGCTACAGGAGAGGGAGGGGACTATAGTTCAAAATAGCCTATCGTATATTTTACAAATCAATAGAAGAAAGGAGATTCAAGGCTCCAACAGGAAGCAATGATAAGGGATGGAAGTATTAATTACCTTGATTGGGTCAGTACACTTTGTATGCATGTATTGCAAGATTACACTTGTTGGGAGTCTCCCTGAGAACTCCCCGGGGCCTGTCAGACATGGCCGGGGACAAATTGCCAGTTGGCGGCTAGAACTCCCTGGGCCTTTCAGATAAGCAACATGGAGTGGGCAAGTTGCCAGTGGGCGGATAACATGTTATTTTGAAAATTTTCTAATTGGCCCTCCCGTCTTCCCCACTAGTGAAGTGTTCGTGATCCCCATGAATCTTATGCAGGGCGGACATGCGTGCATAATAGGTGATGACCTGACCTTTACTATGATTGGCCCTGGGAGCTTTCTGGTTTAAGATAACTGACTCTCACTTTCTATATAAGCTAGCACCAGCTTGCAGTAAAGTGCATCTTCTTTGTCACTGCTATCTGTGTGTGGGCATTTTAATCTCTGACAACGAGCCTTGGCCTTTCAACACTGAACACTGTAAAATGATGCAATTATTGCAGGCTAATTAAACCATTTAAATTAACTTTTATTGGCACATTATAATTACAGGTACTAGTGGGACTCACCACAACATATTTGCACATGCACATAATTTGGTCAATTTTTTTCCTTGCACCTCCCCTTTCTGCCCTTCCTCTCCCTGGTTCCCTTCCCATGTCCTCTACTCTACTAGTTTCCATTTTTTTAACTGAGGCTCAAACACAGGAGTGCTTTACCACTGAACTACATCCCCAGCCCTTTTTCAAATTTTTTATTTTGATATAAGGTCTTCTTAAGTCACTTAAAGCCTCATAAATTACTGAGGTTGATCTTGAACTTGTAAGCTTCCTGACTCGCTGGAGTTGGTGTGTGCCCCTGTGTCTGACCTGTTCTTCCAGGAGGCAGCTGCTACATGTGAGAAACAGCTTGTGTGTACAGAGATGAGCTGAATTACTAAAACATATAAATTTATTAAATAGTCCATGACCCTCAAAGCTTTTTCATCTGGAAGAAAACTCAGACATTTACAAAGACAACTCAACCAGGCAAATGATCCTGAGTGACTTAAAAGAAGTGCAGGAGGGCATGGAAGTAGAAATAGGAGAGATTGCTTTTCGGGGCTCTCAGGAAGCCTCTTAAAGTACTACTTCCTATGGAGTTTGCACCATGATTGAGACACTAAACAGATGATCAGGTAAGTGAACAAGGCACAGGAATGACTGGAGCCACGATGGTGTCAAGTAAATGGCTCTTTCACAGACACAGGAGCCACAGACAATGTGTTGGTGGAAGTTGTAAAACAGGAACTGAGCGTAAAACGGCAACCTGGAGACTCCAAGATGGCGGAGTAGAGGAGAACCTGTTATCGGTGCGACTCCGAGTGAGTGGCCAGACGTTTTCCCTCACGGGGCTCTCATTCAGGGATCTAAGCTTCGTGGGGCACGTGGCAGGATTTAAACAGTGGTCTGTGGCAAGGCCGCCCAGGACATGGGGAAGCCGGCCAGCATGGCCGAGCTGGGACCCGCGCAGACGCAGAGTGGAGCCGCGCAGAGTTGTGGCAGCTTGGAGACGCAGGGTCACTGACCCTTCAGGGCTGGAGTGGGTCAGACTGTGACCCGTGCCGCCACAGGGCAGTGGACTGAGGCCCAAATCCTGGAGGCAGCTAGGAACAGAAGAGCCCGGCTCCCTGCACCTCATGGAGGCCCTGGCATGGCAATGGGCGGCTCCAGGAAAATGTACCTCTTCAGCTTTGGGCAGATGCAGCAGACAATGCAATGGCATCTCAACAGGTGTGTGAGTCCCCGCCCGCCCCCGCACCCAGCTGTGGTAACTCAGAACCTTTCTCCCCAGCTCCCGGGGCGTGGCTAGCAGAGGGAAGGCCACAGAACAGGCTGCCTCTCCAACTCCCCTCTCCACAGCTGCGCGACTTGGTGACTTGGTGACCACCCCACACAGAGGTAGCGCTCAGCTGATTGGCAGCACAGGGCGGCCAGGGCTCCGCAAGCCCCCAGTGAACCCAGGGATGCCGACAAGAGATCCATCCACTGGGCCTGGTGGGCAGGAGAGGGGAGGGGATAGAGACCAGGAGCAGCCCAAAGAGACGGGATTGGAGAGGGAGAGCTGCCCCACACCCATTGCTTCCCCCACCCTGAGGGCAGAGACTCAACCTGGAACGTACTGGAAGAGAAGAAAGCAGAATTCTCAGAGTGCATTTTTTTTCCTTTTTCCTTCTTTCCTTTTTATCTTTCTCTTATCTCTTTTCCTCTCTCTTTTTTCATTTTGCTGTATCTCCTTTACCCCCTTTTTTCTTCTTCTTTTCTTTTTACTTTTATTCCTCCTTCTCTTCCTCTCTCAACCTCCCAAGTGTTCTACTTCTACTGCGTGTAATTTACTAAATGCAAATAGGTGTTTGTTTCTATGCTTCTTTTTGTCCTCCCACATACTTAACTATCCTAAAATACCTCCTGTCTATTCTCCTGTTAATAACCCCCTTCATTAGAGTTCTCCTCCAAAGTAGCTAAGATATATTAACCTCATACCCTCACATCTTCCCCCCTAAACATAAAGTCCTACGACCGACCCTCAGTTCTCTATACGCCACCAGAAACTGTATGCCTTTTATGAAGCTAATGAATATATTTTAAATTATAATTGAAGCCAACATCTGTAGACATAGAGACTTACTATAAATATATTAATAACAAAAACTAGCTCATAAAGTGTATAGTTGATATTGGGAACTGTTTACATTGTCTCCCATCACAAAGGAGAGATCTCAAACTATACAAGAGCAATACAAATCTATAGGAGAAAAACAATAACACTACAGTCATACAGAGCTGGAAAGAAACGTGAAAAACATGAAAAGACAAGGAAAGAAAGGACCACAAACAATGCAGGACAATTCAACATTAGAGGAGGTACAGCTATAGCAGAAAGAATGTCAGATAAAGATTTCAGGGTATACATGGTTCAGATGATCTGGAATCTCAAGGAAGACTTTAGATAGCAAATGCAGACAACGAAAGATAACTTTGACAATGAATTACATAAACAAATCCAAGAAGCAAAAATATCAACTCTACAGGGAGATAGAGGTCATACAAAAAAAAAAAAAAATCCTGGAAATGAAGAAAATAATAAACCAAATTAAAACTCAAATGAGAATATCACCAGCAGAATAGAACACAAAGTAAATCATCTTGAAAAGAGTGTAGACAGCACAGAGATACTGATAAGAAACCCGGAGCAGAACATTCAAGAAATTTGGGATAGCAAAAAAAGACCAAATTTAAGAGTTATTGGGACAGAAGAAGGTTAGAGGTTCAAACCAAAGTAATGGGCAATGTGTTCAATGAAATAATTTTAGAAAACTTTCCAGACATGAAGAATGAAACGGAAATCCAAATCCTAAGAGCCTACAGGACGCCGAATGTACAAAACTACAAGAGATACACACCCAGACACATTATAATGAAAATGCCCAACAATACAGAATAAGGAGAAAATTTTAAAAGCCACAAGAGACAGGAAGCAGATTACATTTAGGGGTAAACCAATTAGGTTAACTACTGATCTTTCAACACAGACTATGAAAGCTAGAAGATCCTGGAACAACATATTCAAACACTGAAAGATAATGGGTTCCAACCAAGAATCTTGTATCCAGCAAAATTAAGCTTCAGGTTTGAAGATGAAATAAAATCCTTCCACTTTAAACAAAAGTTAAAAGAATTTGCAGCTAGAAACTGGTGCTTCAAAACGTCCTTGGCAAAACATTACATGAAGAGGAAATGAAAAATAACAATGAAAACCAACAGTGGGAGGTAGTACAATAAAGGAAAAACTAATCAAAGAGGAAAAACAAATCAACTTAAGTAACAAAAATAAACAAATATGGCTAGAAATACAAACCATATCTCAATAGTAACCGTAAATGTTAATGGCTTAAACTCACGAATCAAAAGACATAGGCTAGTAGGCTGGATTAAAAAAAAGAAGATCCAGCAATATGCTGCCTACAGGAGACTCATCTGATAGGAAAAGACATACACAGACTGAAGGTGAAAGGTTGGGAAAAATCATACCACTCACATGGACCTCAGAAACAAGAAGGGGTGTCCATACTCATATCAAATAAAATAGATTTCAAGCCAAAGTTAATCAAAAGGGATAAAGAAGGACACTACATACTGCTCAAGGGAACCATACACCAACAAGACATAACAATCATAAATATATATGCCCCAAACAATGGTGCAGCTATGTTCATCAAACAAACTCCTCTCAAGTTCAAGAGTCAAATACAAAACAATAATCATGGGTGATTTTAACACACCTCTTTCACCACTGGACAGATCTTCCAAACAAAAGTTGAATAAAGAAACTACAGAACTCAATAACACAATTAATAACTTAGACTTAATTGACACATATAGAATATACCACCCAACATCAAGCGGATACACTTTTTTCTCAGCAACACATGGATCCTTCTCAAAAATAGACCATATATTACGTCACAGGGCAACTCTTAGCAAATATAAGGAAGTAGAGATATTACCATTCATTTTATCTGATCATAATGGAATGAAATTGGAAATCAACAAAAAAATAAGGAAGAAAAAGTCCTACATCACATGGAAAATGAACAATATGCTACTGAATGAACAATAGGTTACAGAAGACATCAAGGAGGAAATTAAAAAATTCTTAGAGGTAAATGAAAACACAGACACAACATATCGAAATCTCTGGGACACTATGAAAGCAGTACTAAGAGAAAAATTCATTGCCTGGAGGTCATTCCTTAAAAGAAGAAAAAGCCAACAAATAAATGACCTCACACTACATCTCAAAGCCCTAGAAAAAGAAGAACAAATCAGCAGCAAATGCAGTAGAAGGCAAGAAATAATTAAAATCAGAGCTGAAATCAATGAAATTAAAACAGAAGAAACAATTGAAAAAACTGACAAAACTAAAAGTTGGTTCTTTGAAAAATTAAATAAGATCGACAGACCCTTAGCCATGCTAATGAAGAGAAGAAGAGAGAGAACCCAAATTACTAGCATATGGGATGAAAAATGCGATATCACAACAGACACTTCAGAAATACAGAAGATAATTAGAAATTATTTTGAAACCTTATACTCTAATAAAATAGAAGATAGTGAAGGCATCAATAAATTCCTTAAGTCATATGATCTGCCCAGACCAATATCAAGTGAGGAAATAGAAGAAGCCATCAAAAGGCTACCAACCAAGAAAAGCCCAGGACTGGACGGATATACAGCAGAGTTTTACAAGACCTTTAAAGAAGAACTAATACCAATACTCTGCAATCTATTTCAGGAAATAGAAAAAGAGGGAGTACTTCCAAATTCATTCTACAAGGCCAATATCACTCTGATTCCAAAATCAGACAAATACACCTCAAAGAAAGAAAACTTCAGACCAATATCTCTAATGAATATAGATGCAAAAATCCTCAATAAAATTCTGGCAAATTGGATATAAAAACATATCAAAAAGATCATGCACCATGATCAGGTGGGATTCATCCCCAGGATGCAAGGTTGGTTCAACATATGGAAATCAATAAACGTAATTCACCACATCAATAGACTTAAAGATAAGAACCATATGATCATCTCGATAGATGCAGAAAAAACATTTGACAAAATACAGCACCCCTTTATGTTCAAAACATTAGAAAATACACTAAGGATAACAGGAACTTACCTCAACATTGTAAAAGCTATCTATGCTAAGCCTCAGGCCAGCATCATTCTAAATGGAGAAAAACTAAAGGCATCCCCTCTAAAATCTGGAACAAGACAGGGATGCCTTCTCTCACCACTTCTATTCAATATAGTTCTTGAAACATTGGCCAAAGCAATTAGACAGACGAAATAAATTAAAGGAATAACTATAGGAAAAGAAGAACTTAAACTAGCACTATTTGCTGATGATATGATTCTATACCTAGAAGATCCAAAAAACTCTACCAAGAAACTTCTAGATCTAGTAAATGAATTCAGCAAAGTGGCAGGATATAAAATCAACACTCATAAATCAAAGGCATTCCTGTATATCAGTGACAAATCCTCGGAAAAGGAAATGAGGAAAACTATCCCATTCACAATATCCTCAAAAACAAATAATGAAATAAAATACTTGGGAATCCACTTAACAAAAGGGGTGAAAGATCTATACAATGAAAACTATAGAGCCCTAAAGAGAGAAATAGAAGAAGACCTTAGAAGATGGAAAGATCTACCTTGCTCATGGATAGGCAGAATTAATATTATTAAAATGACCATATTACCAAAAGCACTATACAGATTTACCGCAATTCCAATCAAAATCCCAATGGAATTCCTCATAGAAATAGAGAAAGCAATCATGAAATTCATCTGGAAAAATAAGAGACCCAGAATAGCTAAGCAATTCTAAGCAGGAAGAGTCAAACAGGTGGTATCGCTATACCAGACCTTAAACTATACTACAGAGCAATAGTAACAAAAACAGCATGGTACTGGCACCAAAACAGGCTGGTAGACCAATGGTACAGAATAGAGGACACAGAGACTAACCCACAAA